ACATCAAGATGCAGGGACATGAGAAAAAAATGGATTTCAAGTTTTGGAAATAGTACATCTTGTAACGCATTTTTGGACCGCCAATTTTCACGTTTTCATAGATCTGCTCGATCTATGCTATTTTTTAAGCTTTAAATTTTATAATTAAAGTTAATAACATAGTTTAAGGCTATCACAAAGATTTCCAGTATTGACACCACTTATCTCGACACTATTAGAAGGTGGACTCTAATTTGATTGTTTAGAGCCTCGGATCAATACAAACCACACCCATACATAAATCATGCCAAAATTGTTCATCTTCGGATCCAAACAGGGTCTAAAGAAAGACATAAATCATGCCAAAATTCTTCATCTTCGCACTTGTTATTCTCTAATACACCTAATAGACATAAAATTCGCATTTACAATCCAAGGAAGTTCTCCAATTTGTCATGCATATGCCCTGCAAAACTCATCATTCTCTTTTGATTGGACTAGAAACTCATCCCTCTTGAGTAACCCTTTCCCTCTTCATTCCCCTCAGTTCCTAAACTTATTGCTCCACATTCTTTCCTTCTTCTAATGCCCAACAAAAGAAAAAACAAATGGACAAACCTCCACCATTGGCAAACCGCTGCTCTCCTCCTAGATCGTCCGTTTCTCTCCACTCGCTCCTCCCTTGGAGACAGCCTGCCTTTTCCTTTGAGGAAACTTAGTAACAATTCAAACTGTGGACATCATGCAGTGGCCCACAACACCCTAACTACCTTCTTTTACCCCTTTGTACCTAATCCTTCCTCTTACAATTCTAATTAACAATTTGGCTCTCAAAATTTTTCTTTTGTCAAATATTTCACTCTACACCATGACCATTGATTAATAAACAAATGTGTTGTTTGCTTGTTTGTTTCCATACTGGCAGAAACAAAACCTGTAGCATCAGGAAATTGCAACCAACCCAAAATATTTCATGTACTTCATCAAAGTTTTGTACCAACAGTTTTGTCTTGAATAAATAAACATTCATAATAGATTCATTGGCAACAGATTTCCACATACAAAACCCCCTCCCATAAATGTCTTCTCTTACCGCTATCGGAGGCAGATGATTCTCGGGTCCACGGACCAACTTCCCCCAAGCATCTAACTTTGGTTCCTATAATAACACTAAAAATTTTACCCAACCCAAATCCTCTCAGTCTATTTCACAGGAAAGGATGTCAGCACTAGGGAGAAAAAGGTTCCCACTAAGCACATATTTAAGACCGCGCCACTCATTTGAATCCCTCATCAGATATCATTAGCGGCCAACTGATTCCCACTACCCATTGCACACCTGATCAGTCCAGCAAACTCTACCTCCCCTATGCTTTCCTTGACCAAAATCTTGACCTTGTTATTACACAAACACAGTTCTAAGCCACCTAGTGGCTTCACCTACAAGCTTTGAATTCCCCTTCCCCATGAGATTAGCTCCCTATACATAAAAATGCCTTCCCTTCTCTGCCAAAGACTGGGAAGCACTCATTCCTAGGTGTGAGAATTCAACAAGAATAGGAAATAATTTACTGAACCACCTTTTAGGAACTCCAATGTATAAACATATTCCAAGAAATCATTCTATCTATCTTGTTTCTATTTATCTTCCAACCAATTGTCGTATTCTTTTTATCTTGTTGCTCATATTGTCTTAAAAACTCACCTGTAAGGAGCCCTAAACCTTGAAGGGTAAAATAGAATCCTATTTCTGACGTATTCCGATTAATGATGGAATATCTGCAAGTTCATACGTGCTTAGAGGAGTATTCCATAAAGATGAGGAACAACATAAATAGAATACTAGAACATAACAATCGGTTGGAAAAGATTCTAATCAGTAGATTGGCTGCATTGATGCACAAAACACATCAGCTCTCACACATCCTTCATGTTAAAACATTAATTAGATGCTGAAGAAAAAGGTACTTGTATGCATATGGTGGCGAGGGTTTGAACAATTAATTGCAGCAGTTCTTGTGATAGATTTACTTCAACTTCTGAATGTGAAAGCTATGTTTTTTTTTTTTGGGTAAATAATGTGAATGCCATGTTTAAAAGTAGAACATACATCCATCACTACCCATTGCATCAAAATATCATCGAGCATGGAATCTTGAGAACCTCCAGCACAAATAAAGTAATATCCATGGTTGGTGAACAGAATTCATAATAAACACTAAACGGATTAAACCTTTCTCGTTCAAATTCAGAAAAAGATGCTCACCTTGCCATTAATTGTTGCATGCCCAATTGTAGGCTGATTGTCCTCAGTTTCATGATCAGGAAGAAGTCTCCATTCATCAAAAAACTTTGTTACTAAAACACGCTGTGGTGCTCCGGGCCATCTTGAACGCCCAAACAAATTTGTGTACTCTGTTCGAGCCATTTCAACAAGCTTCTTCTTGTAATAAGGGTGAGCATAGCTTTCCTCTGTGGCAACAAACCTTCAAAAGAACAAGTCTTTAATGAGCTCTAAATGCCTCAACCACTAGGTAAAGAGATCCCTGATAGGTATCACATCAACAGGGATAAACAGAACTGAAGTTGCACACCTTGTGCCAATGCATATGCCCCTTGCTCCAAGAGCCAAAGCAGCAACATAACCACGTGCATCCACGATACCTCCTGAAGCAATTATAGGTATGTCATGTTCACTTTCAGAAACCAAATCGACCACTCTAGGTAATAGGGTCATTAGCCCATCCTGTGCAAATTGTAATGACAGGTAGAAAAATCAGTAATGAGTAGAACCTCAAAAATTATCCAGAAATAGCAAGTACACATCTTTCAAATTTCCAATCTAATGATATTTTTCATTTACAAAATAAACTCTACATATCCAGAAATAGCAAGTACACATCTCTCAAATTTCCAATCTAATGATATTTTTCATTTACAAAATAAACTCTACATAGTGATAGATGTATATCAAAGAAAGAAGATACTTTCAAATTTATAGAGGGATATCATTAAAGAACATTTAATAATCCTTGGTGAAAATCTTTGAAAAGATAAATACCACTGGAACAGGTGAAAATTCTCTAGTTCATTGCATAGGGTATATCAGTGAACAACTACGGAAATATTGATTGTCACTAGAGAATAAGCAATTCATAAGGCACCAGTATTAAATGAATGTACAGGTGTAAGAGTTGAATGCTAACTCCCAAAATCACTCAATAGCTGAAGAAGCCAAAATTTTCCACTGTGACAAAACAGGGTTATATATTCAGTTTCAAAACTGAACAAGTGATTGTATCAGGTCGCCTACAATTCCAAGAAACTAATTGAACCCCAAATAATATAGAGCAATTACTAGTGGAACTTGAGGTTTAAAGGCATTCAGCCCAATGGGAATCTGTAAAGGCAAATAACCAAGCATCTAGGCAAGGAAGCATTAGAAAACCATGGTTACACATTCAAAAAATCTACCAAGCAATAAACATCCAAATGAGAGACCTGTAGCATACACATTAACTATCCACTTCAACAAAATGAAAGATATCTAGTCAAGTTATTCTCAAAATCAAGTACAGAATCCTCAAATCCAGAACCTGCAAACAATCAAATCAAGAAAGTATTCACCATCTACTACCAAATAAGATATTTAGATTTAGGCTTTCATGAGAAATCACGTTCCCCCCGCCAGTTTTCTTAATTTCTCCAGTGACCTAGACAAGCATTTGCATGAAGTCTGTCAAGTGTGGCTTTTCAGATAACCATCCAATTTTGCATAAAGCTCATTTGTCTCAAGTGAGATTTATAGTTTTTAAAACCTGAATAACCCAGATATTGTTCTAGAGCCTCAAAACATGCTAGGTATCCTTAGTATTGGAAAGCAGATGCAACAGCAGCACTTGTTCAACACAACAGCTGTATAAATCTTGCTTCCCAATTTTTTATAAAGAAGTTACAAAAGCAATTTAAGTAGACTCAGAATATATTTGAGAGAGGTTCTAAAAATCAGTGATATTTGGTAGATGTTGGAAAAGAAAGGAGTTTCTAGAGGATATATTGACATAGTGAAGGATATGTATGAAGGAGCGCTAATGTAAAAACTAGTGGAGAGATAAATGACTTTCTAACGACAATGAAACAAGAGACAACGTCAATGCAAAGCTAGAGCTTTAAAGAGATGCTTTCGAATTTAAAGGTTTTAAAATTAGCCGGACTAAGATAGAATATATAGAATGCAAGTTTAGTAGGAGTAAAAATGGGGAATTACTTAATATTGATGGCCAAAAAGTATCTACAAGAGATTATTTTTGATATCTTGGGTTGATAATCCATGAGAAATTAGAGATTGAGAAAGATGTGGGGTATAGAATAGAACTAGGTGGACAAAGTGGCGATGTACTTCTGGAGTCTCATGTGATTGTCGCGTACCAATGAAATTACAAGGGAAAATCTATAGAGCGACTATAAAACTGGCCATGCTTTATAGGATGGAATGTTCGGCAATCAAAAAAAATATATCCATAGAATGCATGAAGCAGAGATGAGGATATTAAAATGGATGAGTAGCAAGACAAGGAAAGAATAGAACTCATAATAAATACATCCAAGGGGACTTAGGGCTAGCTCCAATAGGCGATAGGATGAGGGAAAGTAGACTTTGGTGGTCTGGTCATGTACAACATCAACCGAGAACAACATCAACCGGGAGCATAGTTGCGAGGATCTTGGTCAAGGGGTAGCGATCCCCCCCACTTGGGATCTCAATCCGGCGATCCTGGAGCTGGAGCCCGAGTGGTACTGGTTTCCTCCCATCAGGAGCTCTCGATTCCTAACTTAAAGGGATATCGATCCAAGATTGCAAAGGATCTTGATCCACACTCCAAATTGTCTACATAATTTATGATTTTCATTAGTTTGTATTATTTCGAAGTATATTATAAAGATGGAATTATTTCATATATTTAATTTTTCTCTTTATTTTCATTTAAAATTTGTAATTTATAACAAAAACATCTTTTCTTGGATTTCGTAATGCTCTTTGTGTCATTTCATGCATTTATTGTATCTCACTTCAAACCCTAAAAACTTTTCCTTGATTTTTAATTGTTAAAATTTTTGTACATTATATTTTTTACACAAAGTGTCTTTTCTATCTTTCAAAAGTGTCTATTAAATTAACTATTTTTTCTTATTATACTATTCGGAAGCATATGAAAATAATGATATTTTTCATTGATTTATTTACTCTCTGGATTTTTCATTTAAAGATTTTTGTTTATAGTAGAGAATCTTTTCTTAAATTTTGTAATTCCCTTCGCGTCTTTCATTCTAAAATAATCAATTTAATATCATTTCATGCATTTATTGTATCTAACTTCAAATCTTTCCCAATATCTTTTCCTTGAGTGCTAATTATTAAGATTCACACACACACACACACGCACACACACACGCATGCACGCACGCACACACACACACACACGCATGCACACACACACGCACGCACACACAACTTTCAAAAGTGACTACTCAATTGATTAAACTTTTTTTTATTTTTTATTATTTGAAAGTGTAAGGAAATAATAACATTTTTCATTGATTAATTTATTTTCTTAATTTTCATTTAAGAAGTTCTATTTATAGTAGAAAATCATTTCTTGGATTTCGTAATGCCCTTTATGTCTTTCGTTTCTTAAATAATTAGTTTAATGTCATTTCATGCATTAATTGTATCTCACTTCAAATCTTCCTAAAATCTTTTCCTTGATTTTTAATTTGTAAGAATTCCATACGCTACATTTTCCATACGTTACAATTTTTTAACACAAAATGGCTTTTTAATTTCGGATAAGTTCTTCTATTTATAATAGAAAATCTATGTCTAGATTTCGTGTTTTTCTTATGTCTATCATTTGTACTCTTATATCTATAGACTCTACGTGTACTCCTTTTTTGGATTTCATAATTTTTTATGGGATGGCCAATGTAAAACATTGCCAAATCTTGTCATGAATCCAAGACTTATGATTAGAATGGCAGATTGGGATTCATGTAGCAAACCCTAAATAGTTGGTATAAGGCTTAGATGATAACGATGATGATGATGATGAATTGTTTATGGGACTTTCTGGCAATAAAGTTCTTATTAGCATGCGCTCAGCATATTAATAGTGTTAAAATATTGATTGTTCATTCTTTGAGTTTTAGAACATCACTTATGAAAAATTCGATATGACATATTTGTATGTATATGCATACACATACATTTATGATTTATCATTCAAGTAATTACAATAATATATAACAATTGAGGACACCATGCACAAACACGCACCCAAACACACACACAGACACGCACGCACGTGCACACACAGACACGCACACATCTACAAATTATAATATGGGGTGTCCCCTTTGCACTCCCATATACATATTATACATATATAGGGTAGGGAGCTTCAGCCAAGGTTCAATCCCAGGCTCCCACACCCAAACCTACTCCTACTCCCAACAACTATGGTCAGGAGGGTGAATTGGTTCAAGTTGAAGGCTTTAAAAGAGCAACAGGAAGGCCCAAAAGGATGTGGAAATGACAAAAGATGTGGTGACTTGTAGTTTGAATAAGGGTATAGTTCTTGATAGAGTGGAATGGTGAAACATGATTCATGTAGCTAACTCCAAGTAATTGGGATAAGGTTAGGATGATGATGATGATGATGATAATGATGATGATGATGATGATAATGATGATGATGATGATGATGATGATCATTGAAGGACAAATAAATTTAGAAATTTTGAAGAGGGAGTGATACGTTCATTAAACTGCAATCTGGCCCAAGGGCTTCTCATTAATTTTCATGTTTGTCATATATATTATGTAAGCTACGGTTTTCCGGTTGACAAGATTGAAGATCAAAAGCCACATTTCTTCCACAACTTAATGTTTGTGATGACGTATTTTCAACCACATGGATAAAGAGGTATGAGATAACCAACCCTGTTTCCAGCAAAGTTTAAGGCACAGTCGCCATAACTTGCTAAGATCTAACTTCTAGGAAAAAGGAACACTTGATAAGATATTCACAAAATCCAACAAAACCTACAAAAAAGGTATACCTGAAAAATATGAAATCTGAGGAAGAAATCCCCAAGTCTCATTCAGTTTATATGATGCATGAGCAGAAACATCTAGTTCTTCCCACATACACATATTCCACAGTGACTAAGCAAGCAATAACAAAAGCTGAAGAATGAAAAAGAGAAAGTGGTAGAGAGAGCGACACACACCCCCCACACAGAAACAGAGGTATTAGGAACCTTGCTTAGGAACATGACAAGTTCTTAATGCCGTACGTATATATCGTATTGTGAGCAAGACCAATACCTGACCAATGACATGGCCTCCTGCTTCCCGCCCCTGAACAATAATTGAATCTACTCCAGCACAAATAGCCTTGTTCGCATCTTCAATAGAGCCAACCTTCAAATAAAAAACTGCACATCAATAAAAATAGATAACAAAAATCACCAACAAAGAACCTGTAAACTAACATACAAGCTTGACTAGAAAAATTGCGGCTACAAAACATTAACCATAGTTATCATGACCAGACCGGACCACACAATCTGAGTTATCGAACCACCAAATGGTGCCATGGCCAGTCCGATCTAAAGCATAAAACTGATTTGGTCGAAAACCAGTTAAAATAAGTGTTTGGCCGGTCAAACCATTCGATTTTGACTGATTCGACCAAATAAACAAAATTGAGAAAGTTTCCTTGAATATCTTTCATATTTTAAACTATTATTCTTATTCTTCTTATGTATTTAAAATATAACCACCTGGTTTGACCATGGATCAAACCGGTTATGATTGGACTAAACCCCTCATTGCTTTGATGGCTAGTTCTATCCTGATAATTATGGCATCAATTACCACTTCAGTATAACTGAAGCTATTTTTGTGAGAAAAACATATTTTTGTGAGAAAATATAGTTTCAGACTGGATACATATTACTTTTTAAAAATACTTCAGATATGAGAGGTGGAATTAGAGAATATAAAAAAGTTCCATATGTTCATCCGAGGAAGACCAATTTCATGTCCAAAAACCCCAACATTAATGCAGATGATCGCCAAGAATACGCAAAGGGAAATTATAAGTGGAAACGACATTTTCACCATATAAATTTCAATCTATTGCAATGAGGACCAATGGGATTGATGAACTTTGTTCTTTCGATTTTGAAATACAAACTCTAAAAGAAATTTCTCAATCAATGCCAATTAGAATCAGCACTGGGTATCCCAAAATCACTTAAGTTCAAAGCAATGGAAGCAGAAACAAATTTTTTATTGAAGAAGAATATAGATAAATAAGTTTTGAAAATTCATTGAAAAGGTAAAGAACTGCATTTGAACCAATTCTGCACCCAATCTAAAAAGATGTCAAATACTAAAACTTTCTACAGATGAACATAAACTTGTAGTCCTTCTCATATAGGAGTTCCTGAAATGACTGGATTTTAGCAAAATGACAATGCATAGAAGTGGGAACTTATGGAGTCTTCTTCCACTTACAGAAACAATAAAGAAAATGCCATCACAACAATTGTATTGTTAAAAGGATTAGTTAAGGGCATGTGAATTAATATGATAATTATATAATCAATGTTCATTATGTACTTAAAGTATACTATCCTGTATTGAACATCCCAACTTACTCAAGGAAAACACAATTTTCAATGATCATTTATTTCAATATGGTATTCAACAAATCTTATTCCAAATAAAATATGGTATTCAACAAATTAAATGTAAAAACAATTTCATATATTCTAAAATCCAAAACGCTCACATTGACAAAGATATTTACAAATTTGTGAATAGCTTTCTTCATATTTAAGATTGATAGACAACATAAGCAAATAACTAACAAAACCATTTTCCAAGAAAAACACAAGTTTACCCTCTTCTCATAAAGCAAGGCATGCAGGAAAAAACTTGTCCCCAATGAGAACAAAATTTAATGAATAGTTAGAGAAAGAGGCATATTACTCATAGCAGAACAAGGCAGATTATGGTGAAATATAATAAACAAAACTCACTTGGTGGACAATCTTGGTGCCAGCTTCATGAGCTTCATCCACAAGCTCTTTAGGATAATCACCCCATGAGACCTGCAACACTGCAACTTTCTCCTCTAATATAACTTTCACATTGTCCTTATGTGGAAATGCCAAAACCACACCCACACCAAATGGCCTGTCTGTCAAGTTTCTTGTCTTTCTTATTAACATCTTCAAGAATTCAGGTGACTCCTGGTTACATCATAAATTGAGCAAAACAACATTGTGTGCTCTATGATAGAAAGTTTATCAAGCATACATATATTTGTCAAACATAAATGGGGAATTTATCAAAAAGCACCCAAGAAACAAACATTCAAGATATCACCAATTTCTTTTTCATTTAATTTCAAAAAGTCCAACTAAGGACATATAATCATGAATTAGAATTGTTGAGATATTAGGCGTGTTTTGACGGATAAGTAAATGTTAAACAATCGATATCTTAGGTGTGGTTTGATAAATTTCCAAAATAAATTTATATAAATTGATCACTTCTCAAGTTATGATATTTTTGTGAACCAAAAAAATGAGTAACAATATGAAATAGGCTTACTAATTTTTTATCAGCTTTAAGATATTCATTGTCTTGTAGAGGAAACATGTATGGCATTATTAATCCCGAAGCATTGTTGTGCATAGGAACATTTGTTACAACCTTAGGGGTGGCAATCAGGTCAAGTCGACCCGCAAGATCCGAACTGGTGTCGTGGTCCAGGTCCAAGCTTTGGACCCAGCTGTCAGTTCCAGGTCCAAATAACTTAGACCTAACATAGGTAGGGTTTGGGTCTAGGTCCAGGTCTAGGTTCGGCATGGACACTATCAGGTGGGGTCTGGGTCCAGGTTGGGCTTATACACAATACTTTTTTCTTTTCTTTTTTTAATTTCTAGACCCGAGCCCAGTTTTCGATGAAACCTAGTTGGGTCGGTTCCCCTATACAACCTACATGTAGTCCTTCATAAGTAGCCTCCATAAAATCCATAATAGACAACTCTGGATGAACTTTAGCAAAACCCTGGA